GTTCCAACATAGATGTCCCAATATAGAAATGTTCCAACATAGATGTTCTAATATAAAAATGTTCCTACATAGATGTCCTAATATAGAAATGTTCCAGCATAGATGTTTTCATATAGAAATGTTCCAACATAGATGTCCAATATAGAAATGTTCCAACATAGATGTTCTAATATAAAAATGTTCCTACATAGATGTCCTAATATAAAAATGTTCCTACATAGATGTCCTAATATAGAAATGTTCCAGCATAGATGTTTTCATATAGAAATGTGCCAGCATAGATGTTATAATATAGAAATGTTCTAATATAGAAGTGTTCCATCTAGGTGACGACAACTTTTAAAGAAGCAGGTTCAGATGCTGAAAATAAAGCGGTTACTGAACTTTGTTTACGAGGTCTCCAGTTGTTATCCTCTTGGTGTTCAGTGTTAACTGAATTATGTTCTTGGAAACTGCTGCACCCAACTGATCACACTATCAACTCTAGATGTCCAGCGGAGGCTGAAGAATATGAAAGGGTAAGTCCCTTTATAATTATTACTAGTTTTCGCCCGCGACTCCGTCTGCGTGGAATTAAAAAAATTAAAATGAGTAGCCTGTATTCTTTCAGACTATCCTCTACATCTATCTTGGTGAAATTTAGCATATATGTAGAAGTCTGGAAGAACACATAGGGTACTTTTTTCTTATTTCTACGTTGACGCAGTCGCGGGCGAAAGCTAGTAAATTAATAAATCAACCATTTTTTAGGCTACTCGTTATAATTATACATCTGAAGAGAAATTTGCTATGATAGAAGTGATAGCTATGATAAAAGGTCTTCAAGTGTTAATGGCTCGTATGGAGACTGTGTTCGCTGATGCAGCCAGACGCTCGATATACGCAGAGTTGCAGGATTTCGTACAGTTATTACTAAGGGAGCCACTAAGGAAGGCGATTAAGAACAAGAAGGATCTGATACGAAGGTCTGTGGGTGGAAATTTATTTGTGTTTAAGGAAAATTTTAAATTTAAATTGTCTTTAAGATATTTAAAATATTAAACAAACGCAACTAAGAGATCGCTTAAAATAACAATTTTCGTTTCTAAATAATTGTTTTTCGATGTTTTTGAATATTTTTAAACAGTGGTAGAGCCTGCTTTAATATGATCGCGTTGTAGGGCTCTACGGAATACCACAAGCACAAGATAGATGTGAAGTGGAAGTAATTCCGCCTACACTATTGAGTGTGCCGGAGGCCTAATTTTAGTCTCTTTCCATCCTTTTTTTGAAGATAGGATGGAACAGTGGATTTGATGGAGGAGACGCATAGTAAGGGGAAATATCCTCTTTATGTGCGTCTCTTTCTCCGTCGATTGAGGGTAGGCAATCTGCAATTGCGGATGTCTGGGCAGCTGTCGGTCGCTTCGCCATTTTTAACAGTGGTAGTGCCCGCTTTAACATCTTAGCACTGCAGGGCACGCCCCCAGTAATACCACGACCACACAGGCAGGCGTGAAGTGGAAGCAATTCCGTGTACAGTCTGATGAGTGTGGTGCCGGAGGCATAATTTAAGTCCCTTTCTCTTTACCACCCTTTTCTTATAAGGAGAGGTTGGGAAGAGGAAGTGGATTTGACGGTGGAGGAGATGCATAGGAAGGGGCAATATCCTCTTTGTATGCATCTCCTCCTCCGTCGTATAAGGGTAGGCAACGCATCTGCAATTGCGGATGTCTATGGGCAGTCGCTTCGTCATTTTGGCGAATTCAGGTGGCAGCTTGCTTTAAAAAATGTTTGTACAGTATAATAGTGTCTGTGCGCGAGACATGCGGCGACTGGGCGCGCGGCTGCGAGCCGCAGCAGGACCCGGCGCTGCGCGGCAAGAAGGACGCCGACGCCAGCTTCACTATTAAAGTTCCCAGGAGGAATGTTGGTGAGACCCTATCGTATATATCATATAAATATTATAAATGCGAAAGTTACGATGGATGGATGTTTGTTAGAGTTTGTAGCCTAAACTGCTGAACGGATCTTCATGAAATTCGGCACAGGTTTAGAAAGTCTGGAACACATAGGCTACTTTTTATCCCGGGAATAGTTAGTTCCCGTGGGATTTATTAATTCAGTTTTTGTATTTACTCGATCATTCTGCAACGGTTCAACATATCTTATTGAGTTTTGTCACAGATATAAAACAAAGTGTGGAGTACACATGGGATAAGGTTCTTCAGCTTTTTGTTATTTATATAGTTCGTATGTTTTCTAATACCACGCGGACGAAGTCGCGGGCAACAGCTATTATTTATATTAATACTAGCTTTCCCCCTCAACTATGTCATCGTGGAATTAAAAAACTGAGTAACCTATGTGTTCTTCCAGACTATCTTCTACGTCTATGCTATATTTACCACAAACTCTAACAACATCTATCTTAACTTAAAACTCTTAGTCCGAAAGAATACAGATTTCTGGGTATTGTGTTTTTTCATTGTGTTTTATCTCGACATGTTCCATCGGAAAATGTTTCAAGCCTCGAAAATTTATTTTTAATATGTATTAGTAATATTAATCATCAATATAGTTAGAATATACTTCTCCCTATTTTCTCAATACAAAAACAAGGAAAAGATTGATGAAATTATATAATTTTTTTAATAATTATTAAAATATTTGGATTTGGCTCACGAGATTACCGCGTGGCGTATGAAATCGACTACCATTATTCCGATAGTCGTTTCGGTACACGAGCTGATAGCGAAGAGCTTCGACCAACACCTTAAAAAGCTCTCGCTAGACAGTTGGATTAAGCCCGATACAAAAGGCGGTTATTTTAGAAACCGCAGGAATAGTGAGGTTCCTGTCTCTGCACTGAACACTGGTTGCTTGAGTCATCGGATTCCGCAGCCGGTGGTGCTCTATTTTTTATATAATATTGTAACAAGATAAATTAAGACTACTCGCGCCATCGTATGCCGAGTAGTAAAATCGTGCATGCGGCGCCATAATGCATTGATGCAACTGAACAATTACGCCGCTTGTCACTAGATGGCGCCATAGTTCACTTACATGCCGCTATCAATGTACATAGATGGTTTCGTGACCTCGGCCGCCGTGACGAGCTTGAGGTGTGCTTGGTTACTCGTGGTGTGCTTACGCTAGGCACTCTTGGTGCTTCAACCATTGCTTGAACACTCAAGGGTCCTCGGAAAAGCATTAACTCGCCTTGCATAACTGCGCCTCACCTAAGTTGGGTCATTTATGTAAGCGGTGATCGCCCACGTAACGCTCGCCCCGCACCCCCCGCTACAATATAAAATATTTTATTTTTATATCAAATCTTGTAAAAAGTACAAATCTTTCTAACACAATCTAGAAATTCTTTTATCTGATATTTCAGGACCATCATCGACACAATTATATATGGTTAGAACACAACTGGAAGCTTTGATATCTGATAAATCTGGCGGTAGAAGGACATTAAGGAAGGATCTAGATGCCACCACTTTGACACAAATCGAAACATTTCACCGTCAGAGTTTCTATTGGGGGTATTTGTTAAATCTGTCAGGTAAATATTGAGTTTTTATTAACAAAATAATCATCATCCTGCCTTATCCTACTCCCGTTGGGTGCACCGGGTTTTCGTCCTCCAAAGCACTCTATCATCCGTCATCTCAGTCATCACTCCCTTCATTATATCACCTATCACGCAATCCATACAACTCTCTACCGGTGTCTCCATATTCATAACTAACCTCCGTCTTGTTACATGCGATTCATCACTTCTCATAACATGCCCCCATGCTAACCTTTTACTCCTTACCTTCTCTACCACTGGGGCTACTCTCAAACTTCCTCTAATAAACTCATTAACAAAATAATCATTTAATAAAATGTTTTTTACAGTTTCTTTGCTTGAAAGCGTTTTAAATAGTATTTCTCTTTCAGATTCCTTACAAAAGTGTTGCGATCTCTCTCAGTTGTGGTACAGAGAGTTTTATTTGGAAATGACAATGGGTAGGAAAGTAAATGTAAGTTTTTTTAAATGTCTGTTATTTTTATTTTTATAGAAACACGAGCTGTTGCCCGCAACTTCGTTCGCGTGATATTAGAAAACATACTAACTATATAAATTACAAAAAACTACGTATCCCGGGAACCGGACATTTATCTGAGATGAAGCTTACCCCATGTGTACTCCACACTTTGTTTTATATCTGTGACAAATCTCAATAAGATATGTTGAACCGTTGCAGAATGATCGAGTAAACATTTAAAAACTAAATTAATGAATCCCACGGGAACCGTAACTATTCCCGGGATAAAAAGTAGCCTATGTGTTCTTCCAGACTACGCTCTAAACCTGTGCCAAATTTCATGAAGATCCGTTCAGTCGTTTAGGCTACAAACGCTAACAAACATCCATCCATCTAAACTTTCGCATTTATAATATTATATAAGTAAGATATTAATCTCAATATGATCCAATCATGATCAATCATAACAATGTTCCGATTCAATATTGTTAATCTAATATAGAAATGTTCCGATTTAAACAATGTTCCATTTACAGATTATCACTTTTTATATATTTCTTTGATTTCCAATAGTTTTTGTGTTTGTTTTCAAGAAATGTACGGTACGTCATCAGCATAACGAGGAATGTAACGATTTGGTAACAATGGAGAAAAGAATTCAGTTTCCCATAGAAATGTCTATGCCTTGGATATTGACTGACCATATTCTGCGAAGTAAAGAACCAGCTATGATGGAGTGAGTAATTTATTAACTTAGACTCAACTTAGATTATTACTTTTTGTATTTCAAGCCCTGATAAAAATTGTTGTTCTTTGTTGAGACATAGCTATGTGTTTTTTATCTCTAGATGTTAAAGATATTTTAAAGTTTCTATAAGAGCGAATATGTTAAAAATTTAATGAAAATTATATATTAAATAACCTAAAAATGACACATCTGACATATGTCACTGTTTTGATTATAAGTATACCAAAAGTCGGTTTTGGCAAGAAGTCAATGTTAGGTTTTTTTTTTCGGAAAAAATCTTACCGTATGAAAGAAGTTTCTGTTATTATTTTTTTTATGAAGCATATAATACTGGTCAAACAATAATGATTTTTGTACTAAATTTATTTTCTTCTAGATATGTACTATACCCGTTGGATTTATACAATGATTCCGCTCAATATGCGTTAACTGTGTTCAAAAAACAATTTCTCTACGACGAAGTAGAGGCTGAAGTTAATTTGTGCTTCGATCAGTTCGTTTACAAACTGTCTGAACAAGTCTACGCTCATTACAAACAACTGGCTTCCAGGTATCATTCGTTCTTATTCATTCATTCATTACCTTACTCCCTAATAGTGTGGAGATATAGCTAGCTTTTGTCCGCGACTTTAAAAAAATCACAGTAAATAGTCTTACGAAGACTATGGCCTAGTCACCCCTTATAAGGGTATGCTCTGAGCCCCTTGCTGGGGACGTATGGTGATGATGATGATGATGATGATGGTTCTTATGTTCTTTTAGAACATAATCTAAATCCATTCCAAATTTCATCTATATCCGTTAAATTTGGGAGGTAGATAACAAACTTCTTTCCATAAAAACTATCGCATTTATAATATTAGTAAGATTACCTTTTGCATTCGATTTAATCAGCGTAAATTTAAAAACAAAACAAAAGTTAGTAGCCTAGGTGTTCTTCCAGACTATCCTCTACATTAAAAAATCATCGAGATCCGTTCTACACTACAGGATATAAACACTAACAATCCATATAAACTTTCACATTTATAATATTGACAGTATGTTACTGGACAAGCGGTACCGCGCGGAGTGCGCGGCGCGCGGCGCCAGCACTGGCGGCGGCGCTGGCAGGTACGCCTCGCTGCTGCGCCAGCGCCACGTCGCGCTGCTCGGCAGGCACGTCGACCTCAACGCGCTGGTGAGTCACAACACGATCATGACCAACGATAACCGATCATGACCAGCGAAGACCGATCATAAACAACTATGACCAGCGATGACCGACTATGACGGATCATAAACAAGTATGACCGATTATGACCAACTTTGACTAGCGGTAACCGATCATGACCGATTATGACCAGCGATGGCCGATCATGACCGGTCATGATTTTTGATGACTAGCTATAATACGTACAAATTTGTATAAATACAAGTATAAGTGTTCGTATACATTAAGAAATATTAAAACTTGTGCGGAGGATGACAAGTCTTAAATACAATATTGGAAAATTGCCATTTTTCTTATCAATTGTAAACTTTCGTGTTATAACATTATAACGAATTGTTTAACGGATATCACTTACTATTTTAAGAAGACAGCCCAATAACACTCACCCTGTAGATGGACCTCTGATGGGTCCAAAACTAGAAGGTGTCTAATAGACATGAGTGATAGCCGTTTAAAAAAAATATTTTTCTTATAGTTAACGTATTGTGATGTTTTTATTAAGCGTCGGTGGCTCAGTGGTTTGAACACTTGACTTGTAATCTACAGGTCTTGGGTTCGAATCCCGACGTGTACCAATGTGATTTTCGATTTTTTCGAATAATCATATGTACATAATTTACCCGACGTTCTTACGGTGAAGGAAAACATCGTGATGCAACCTGCACATATCGGCGAAGAAATTCAAAGATATGTGTGAAGTCGACCAACCCGCACTTGGCCAGCGTGGTTGACTATGGCCTAGTCACCCCATACTAGGGTAGGCTCCGAGCCCCTCGGTGGGGACGTATAGTGAGCTGGTGACGTGACGATGTTTTTATTAGGTGGCTCAACGTATCAATGCGGACATGCACCGCGCATTAGACGCGGCTGTCGCGAAGTTTGAAGCAGGTGATATCACCGGAGTTGTGGTGAGTGTCATTTTCAAATAATCATTGATTGTATAGATATAGCTTTGGAATTTAAAAAAAAAAAACGAAAATTAGTAGCCTATCAGACTAACAAATAAACGCAGTAAAAGTTAAATTGGAATAAAATGAGTGTAAGTAAAATTAGTACTAATATTTGCTTATACAAAATCATTACACAAACTAATAAAAATACATCTAAACTTCCATATTTATTAGATGTAAATATACTAATAAAAAGAAAAGATTTGTATTTGTTTACGCACAATAAAACCTCGATAACTCAAACCTCGGTAACTTAAAAACCTCTATAACTTCAAATAATATGTTCCCTTCCCATCACAGCCCAGAACCTCTACAAAGACCCTTGATAACTTAAAATATTTTGTGTTTGCCTTGGACTTTAACGTATCCAGGTTCTACCGACTTGAAACAACTCAAAAACTAAAGACCGATTTTAAAAATCCACCATTAAAAAGCTACATTATCAGAGGCTTTACCAGTGGTAGTGCCCGCTTTAACATCTTAGCACTGCAGGGCTCGCCCCCCAATACCACGACCGCACAGACAGGCGTGAAGTGGAAGCAATTCCGTGTACAGTCTGATGAGTGTGGTGCCGGAGGCCTAATTTAAGTCCCTTTCTCTTTACCACCCTTTTCTTATAAGGAGAGGTTGGGAAGAGGAAGTGGATTTGACGGTGGAGGAGATGCATAGGAAGGGAAAATATCCTCTTTATGTGCGTCTCCTCCGTCGTATAAGGGTAGGCAACGCATCTGCAATTGCGGATGTCTATGGGCAGTCGCTTCGCCATTTTAGCGGTTTCAGGTGGCCGCTTGCTCGTTTGCCACGTTATGTTATAAAAAAAAGGCTATATTTTTTACTATTTTTAAATCCACTCAGGCTAGAAATTATTTAAATTTCATTCCAGGAATTAGAAGGTTTGATATCGGTAAATCGTTTATGTCACAAACTTCTAAGTCGGTATCTGACTCTGGACGAGTTCGAAGCGATCTTACGCGAATCGGACCACGGAGTGCTCGCTCCGTACGGCAGGATTACTTTGCACGTATTCTGGGAACTTAATTACGATTTCCTGCCTAATTATTGCTATAATGCTGCGACTGACAGGTAAGTTGAATATATCTATACTATAGTTCCCGTGCGACTTCATCCGCATGAAATTAAGAAAATAATTATTTTATTGTTTACGTTTGTCAAATTATCAATTACAGTCAACATGACAACCTTGCTTCCTTGATGTTGGCAACTTGTGGTCTCTTTCCCTCATTAGGGTTTATATCCAAATTATTTACCCCCCTAAGTTTAATGGCGTTAAAATATATAGAAAGAAGTGTGTGTTTACGCTTTATTATAATAGTATAGATTCTAATAAAGCGTAAACACACACTTTGTTGCCTAAGATGTCAGCAATTACACCATATTTTTCAATAATTCTTTCTTTTAAAAAAGCCTTACACTTACACGCTTTAGGTTATATATTTTCACGCTATTAAACTTTGGAGTAAATATTTTGGATAAAAACCCTAATGTGGGAAAGAGAACATAAGTTGCTGCCAACATCAAGGAAGCAAGATTGCCAAGTTCGTCATTTTGACAATTGACAATTTGTCAAATGTAAACAATCAAATAATTTTATGCTGACGAAATCGCACGGGAACAGCTAGTTTGTTATAAAATGATTAAGAATGACTTAAATTATGATACCCCATGATGATGAATAGTTTTTTAGTTGATGAGTTCTTCGAACGATGGATCAGTTTGAAAATGATAGATTAGTTGATCGAATGTTATTTTTGTTGATCGAATGATTAGCATGATAGTATAATGAAGTGATAGTATAGTGCACCGAATATCGTTTGGTTGAACCAGCGATAGTTTATTTGATCGATTTATAATTTTATTGATGTAGTGGTAGTTTGGTTAATCGATGGATCAGTTTGAAAATGATAGATTAGTTGATTGTATGTTATTTTTGTTGATCGAATGATTAGCATGATAGTATAATGCAGTAATAGTATAGTTGATCGAATATCGTTTAGTTGAAACAGCGATGGTTTAGTTGAACCAGCGATAGTTTGGTTGATCGAATTATATTTTAATGAATGTAGTGATAGTTTGGTTGATCGAATGATACGATAAATTAAAAATAAACGGTTGTTAACGACCTAATGATATTTTAGTTGATCGACTGCTTGTTTAGTTGATCCAGCGATAGTTTAGTTGATCGAATGACAGTTGACTGATAGTTTAGTTAATTGAATAGTTGAAGTTTAGAAAAAAACCTTTGATCTGATTAGTATACAGTGATAGATAGAAGATAACATTTTACAGTGGTAGAGTCCGCTTTAACATCTTCGCACGAATGTGCCGGCTCGCCCGGTGCAATATCACGACCACACAGAAAACAGGCGTGAAGTGGAAGCAATTCCGCGTTTCGTCATATGAGTGTGGTGCCGGAGGCCCAACTTTAGTCCCTTTTCCTTACCGGACTTTTCCTTATAAGAAAAGGATGGCAAGGGAACGTGACGGTGCAAGAGACGCATAGGAAGGGGAAATATCCTCTTTATGTGCGTCTCTTTCTCCGTCGATTGAGGGTAGGCAACGCATCCGTAATTGCGGATATCTATGTGCAGCGGTTGCTTCGCCATTTTGGCGGATTCAGGTAGCCGCTCGTTTGCCACCTTATGTTATATAAAAAAAAATACGAAAACGAGAGAATACAAGGTAATTGATATTTATATTTGAATAGGTTTGTAAAATGTCGTGGGATTCAATTCGTGGCGGGAGTTCAACGCGAACGGCCGCAGCAGTACGGACATGCGTTGTTGTGGGGATCTAAGCAGTTAGGATTCCCTTATGCCGCACAATACGCGCAATACGCAGGTAGGGGAAAATAAATATAATGACGCTAAATATAAGGTTTTTTTATTTATTTGTGGGTATTTTTTTGTTAGTCTCTAAGGTATAGTAAATAACAAATAGATTAAGTAAATTTAGTTCGAATCTTGTTAAAAAGACTGGAAATAATATTCTCTGCTTAAATTGTGCAGTATATCTTTTCACCGCGAATTCCGTGTCCCCATATAACATGGTATTCCATATAACGCGATATTTCAAACATATTAAAACAAGAACCTCGTATAACGCGATTTATGACTTCTCTGTTGAAAGTTATACGAATCACTACTACGGTAATTTCTATAACGCGGGACTATCAACCGCGTTATAGGGGGTTTACAGTAATTTATTTTTTCTAGGTTTATTTGCATTATAAATTAACTATTTTGCATATTATTTAAAATTAAACAAATAATAAATTATTGAAAAAATATTTCAACGATAAAATACTATCCAGGATTCGTTGGAGCACAACATCTTCACGCCCTAGTCCGGTTATTGGGTTACCAGGGTGTGGCAGTAGTGGTAGGGGAACTATTAGGCGTTGCCCGAGGCCTTTTACATGGAACACTCGCTCAGTTCACCAGAGCGCTAGCGGCCGCTATGCCCCGCCACTGCAAGCTGCCGAGATACGATTACGGATCTAATGGTAAGTTTGGATAATAGATGGCGCTGATCTCGAGATAGAACACGAGGTTAACTTTCTTTTCCTGTAAAATATTTTGGAAGCTACTTTTATCCGACTGATAAGTAAAGTAATGAATTTCATGTGTAAATTTGTTTTTAAACGGGTTTGTATGTTTGAAACACCCTACAATCTAAACTACTGAACGGATTTAGATGAATGAGGTGTCATTGGATTCGTATAGAGACAGACTACAGAGTGTCATCTATACTATAATAATAAAGCGTAAACACACAACTCTATGTTGCCTAAGATGTCAGCAATTACACCATATTTTTGAATAATTCTTTTTCTAATAAAAAGTCCTACACTTACGTCATGCTTTAGGATATATATATTTTCACGCCATTAAACATAGGGGGTAAATAATTTGGATAGAAACTCTGATGTGGGAAAGAGATCATAAGTTGCCAACATAAAGAAAGAAAGATTGCTAAGGTTTGTCATGTCATGTTTTGACATTTGCTATTAATAATTTGACAAATTAAAACAATAAAATAAAATTTTCATAATTTCATGCGGGTGAAGCCGCACGGGAACAGCTAGTAGGGTATAATATATTTGCATAAAATATATACAGTGGACATGAGAATTAATTTTGTTTAAATATTTCTTGATTTTTAAAGTCTACATGAATCAATTAGATTAATGTCCGGTTTCCCAGCTACTTTTAGCTATTGGTTAGATTTCAAAGAGAGTAAAATGCAACTTAAGTACATCCTAAGACTAATTTCATGAAGTTTCGAATCAAAAATAGTAACAAATGGCTAAAAGGAGCTAAGAAACAGGCCATTAGTTAGGTCAAGTCAAGAAGTTTTGAAGAATTTTTTACCTTCCAGGTGTTCTGGGTTACTATCACGCTCAACTGACTGATATAATCCAGTATCCCGATGCTCGTACGGAATTATTCCATTCGTTTAGAGAACTCGGGAATATTATTCTATTCTGTATGCTTATTGAACAGGTGAGTTTCACATATAAATACACAAATTCACACACCCATAGATGTGATACACACACAAGTGAAAGAGTTCAACAATTATTTTTGATCCGCATTTTATGGCATTACGCGATTTTACGGCATTTTATGGCATTACGCGATTTTATGTCATTTACCAGTGTTAGTGCCCGCTTTAACATCTTAGCACTGCAGGGCACGCCCCCAGTAATACCATGACCACAAACAGCCGTGAAGTGGAAGCAATTCCGTCTACAGTCTGATGAGTGTGGTGCCGGAGGCCTAATTTCAGTCCCTTTTTCTCTACCACCCTTTTCTTATAAGGAGAGGATGGGAAGGGGAAGGGGAAGTGGATTTGACGGTGGAGGAGATACAAAGGAAGGGGAGATATTCTCTTCATGTGCATCTCCTCCTCTGTTGGATAAGGGTAGGCATCTGAAATTGCGGATGTCTATGGGCAGTCGCTTCGCAATTTTGGCGGATTCAGGTGGCCGCTTGCTCGTTTGCCACCTTATGTTATAAAAAAAATCAAGCAAAGGCCACTTGAATTCACTAAAATAACGAAGAAACAGTCTATAGACATTCGCAATTGCAGATACGTCGACGGAGACGCACATAAAGAGGATATTTCCCCTTCCTATGCGTCTCCACTATCAAATCCACTTTTCCTTCTCATTCCTTCCATGTATGAAAAGGTTGGAAAGGGAAAGCCACTTCAACTAAGGCCCTGCCAGATCAGACTATACGCGGAATTACTTCCACTTCACACTTGTCTTCTGCTTGGGGAGATTCGATGTATTCCTGCGAAAATATTAAGTGCCCTACTATTTTTAATATTTCCAACTGGTTCATTGTAATATAATTTTAAAATAGTCGAATATTTATAAATATGTTTAGGCTTTGAGTCAAGAAGAAGTGACAGATTTACTCCACGCTGCGCCATTCCAGAATATTCTGCCTCGGCCGTTCGCTGCAGGTAAAATATATTATTTCTCTGTAAAACTATACATAATCCCTATTTATATACTAGAATAAAATATTTCTTATCCAAACAGAGGGAGAGAAACCTGAGGTAAAACAGAAACGCCTAGAATCAAAATATTCAGCGCTGCAGATTGTCCAGAACGTGGATAAATACGGTACTGCCAAGGTAAAGACTTTTTATTGTCATATATAATGTAATTATTCGAAATTATGAATAACTTAGACTTAGATGTTATATGGTAACTTTGCTTTATTTCGTTGATACTATTTTTTTAAAATATAACAAAGTTGCAAGAAATTTACTGAAAGGGGAATGACTATTTGAATTTTTATTTCGCAACAAACTAGCAATTAGAAAATTTATATTAAGACAGACTTATTCAGTTGTAAATTTTTATATCTTATGTATATATATACATCAGGGATGTTGCGGATGTTGATTTTTTCACATCCGCGGATGCGAATGCGGATGCGGAGTTTTGAGGGCTCACATCCGCGGATGCGGATGTTAAGATATGTAAACCGTCATCACCATGATATCAACATCATCAACATATCAGCCTTTATTATGTAACTAAAGTATATTAATGAAGAATTAAAACAATGATGACATAAATATTTTTATTGTAAATAATCAAAAATTATTATATATTAAACACCTATTGGTATTAGTAATTAAATGTAAAAATAGGAGCATTATACTTAATGAACAGGAGTATTGGTGCTTTTCTGGTTCAAGGCGATTACGCAGAGGTTCAAAAATTAAACCCGGGCTACTAAATTGTTCGCTAGGAACACTGCCCGGCTATTTGCATGATATTCGCATCCGCATGAACATCCGCACTGATTAATGCAGATGCAGATGTCCAAATCTATGCGGAAGTTCCGTATTAGCGGATGCGGATGCGAATATTCGCAACATCCCTGATATACAAGCTTAAAATCTTACAAACACAATAAATACGTGTAGTGTTTGGGATCCTTCGATTATCAAGTAAAACGCCAGATAAAATAACTTTTATTATCTCCTTAAACTACTACCTACTCCGTTGACGTCGTTTGATCTATCTGTTCACCTTTTGCCCTTCAACCTCTCTCTCTGTCGCTTACATGCCTTCTCCCTCACACTCCCGTTCCGTTCCTTTCCACGTCAAAATCCATCTGTGTATGCATCTGTGTTAAAATTAAAAACACAATAAACACATAATTTATTATGTCATCTATAAAAATCACCTAATTTGTTGAACTTCAATTATTTTCTCGCAAATAGTACCAATCAGAGATTTAAATTTTTTCTGGCATAAACAGTTAGAGCGAGAACACTCCTTTGACTATGTAATCGTATAACTGTTTAGTTTCGCTTTGATTCCAATCTTATATAGAGGTTGTGCAACTAAACAGTTAAATTGTCGACACAATAAACAATCGCCCAACAGCTGAGCGATAGTTTAGTCAAAGATGCAGAAAACCCTACAAATCGAGTCACATTCATTACAGTGGTAGTGCCCGCTTTAACAGCTTAGCACGAATGGGCCGGCACCCCTGGTGTAATACCACGACCACACAGAAGACAGGCGTGAAATGGAAACAATTCCGTGTTTCGTCTGATGAGTGTGGTGCCGGAGGCCTAATTTAAGACCCTTTCTCTTTACCACCCTTTTCTTATAAGGAGAGGTTGGTAAGAGGAAGTGGATTTGACAGTGGAGGAGATGCATTGGAAGGGGAAATATCCTCTTTATGTACGTCTCCTCCTCCGTCGGATAAGGGTAGGCAACGCATCTGCAATTGCGGATGTCTATGGGCAGCGGTCGCTTCGCCATTTTGGCGTTTTCAGGTGGCCACTTGCTCGTTTGCCACCTTATGTTATATAAAAAAAAAATTAAAGTATAACAAAATATGTAACTAAACTCCATACATGATTGCTATATCTACATCTATACTAATATAATAAAGCGTAAACACGCACTTCTTTGTTGCCTAAGATGTCAGCAATTACAGCATATTTTTCAATAATTCTTTCTTTAATAAAAAGCCCTACACTTATGTCACGCGTTAGGCTGTATATTTTCACGCCATTAAACTTATATATGAGAAAGAGACTATAAGTTACGAGCTGCCATCATCAATAATCAAAATTGGCATTTTTGTCATTTGTTAATTTGAATTTTGACATTTGCAATTGAATTTCACAAATGTAAACAATAATATAAAGTTTTTATAGTTTCATGCAGATGAAGCCGCATGGGAACAGCTAGTTTAAAATAATTTCGTATAATCTTTATAGCAAAGTCAACTAGCCCGCGAAGGAGACTTATTAACCAGAGAGCGATTGTGCTGCGGCCTTTCTCTATTCTCTGTGGTACTGCGCCGTTTGCGGGCGTGCCTCACCGCGCCGCAGTGGCCGAGCCCGCCGGCAGCGCCGCAGCACGCGCCTCTACACACTGATGATACTAGCGAGTTCCACAGGTTAGTTACGTTCAACAAGTCAGGTATATGTTCAACAGATCAGGTGTATGTTCAACAGATCAGGTATTTGTTCATCAAGTCAGGTGTATGTTCAACAGATCAGGTATATGTTCCACAGATCAGGTGTATGTTCAAAAGATCAGGTGTATATTCAACAGGTCAAGTGTATGTTCAACAGGTCAGGTATATGTTCAACACATAAGATCTATGTTGGAATGATCAGTTCTACGTTGCACTTGTCAGTTTTGTTAGATCGACAACTGTGTTCCAACGTAACTATAGTGTGATCCAGGAGTACACACGGTAACAAAAAAAGTACAGACAAACTGATAACCAACTACCGGGAAGCTAATAAAAAAAAAGTCAGAATTTTCTCGATAAATAGGTTTGAAATATCTTTTCAGACTGTGGTCCGCTCTGCAGTTCTTGTATTGCATCCCAGTTGGAGATACGCAGTTTACTGTCGAGTGAGTAAAAAATGTATAATCCAAATTATTACAAAATTCTCAAGTTTTTTAAGAGATTTGAAATTTGAAATTGGTGTAGTTTTTTTGAGAATTTCTTTTCCAGATTCCGTTTTCAAAATTACCATTCCATTTTTTCAAATTTTGAATGTTAATTTTTAAATTCCGAATTCTATTTTTAAAATTCATAGTAGTCAAAATTCCATTTTTAAAACTCCTAATAGTCAAAATTTCTTTTTTAAATCCTTGTTTACGAACTTGAAAACTACAAACTTCTTTTAGGGAGTTATTCGGCGAAGGTCTTCACTGGGCGGGATGCACCATCATCGCACTTTTGGGTCAGCAGAGACGTTTCGAGGCTCTCGACTTCTGCTACCACATCCTGAGAGTCCAAAGAGTTGATGGGAAAGATGAACTGGTTAAGGGAATTGTAAGTTTTATATGTATATAGCTTATCTCGTGACTCCGTCCGTGTGGAGTTCAAAAAACAAAAATGAGTAGCCTATGTGTTCTTTCGGACTATCCTCTACATCTATACCGAACATCCATACATTTCATCACATTCACAACTTACAGCATCACACACTCATAACACATAGTATACAGTCCGCGTGGAATTAAAAAAAAAAACAAAGATGGGTAGCCTATGTATTCTTCCATACTATCCTCTACATTTGACAACCATCGAGATCCATTCAGTGTAGGATACAAGCTAACGGACATTTAAACTTATATATTTATTTAGTAAGATACATATTTCTCCAAAATATACAAAATCAACTATTTGTAATATCTTTCAGCCACTGAAACGCATGGTGGACCGCATCAGACGTTTCCAGGTCCTTAACTCCCAGATCTTCGGAGTCCTCGCGCGTCATCTGGTCGCTGATGAGGAGCGCGCTGGAGTAGAGCATATACGATGCTTCCCTCCACCAGCTGCTTCACATCATCATGTTGAATAAACTAAACTAACATCAACACTCAATTTACATCAATACTAAACTAACACAACTCAAATATGATGAAATTAAAACTATCATCAACTCAATTCCGATTCACATAGACTAAACTAAAATAACATCACCACTCAATATATAATACTAAACTGACACAACTAAAATGTGATGAAATTAAAACTATCATAATCTCAATTCCGATTCACATCATCACATCGACTAAACTAAACTAACATCAACACTCAATATATATCAATACTAAACTAACACAACTCAAATATAATTATATTAAAAGTATCATAATCTCAATTCCGCTTAACATAATCACGTCGACTAAACAAACATAATTCAGTGAATTTATGATAGTTTAGTTCAGTTTAGTATCATGATAGTTATCACGTCTTCTCAACATTTATGAAATCATCAACACTAAGTAAACTAAATTAACACGATAACTCGACTAACTTTAACTCAACTATCACGTTAACTCAACAATCAACAAATCGTTTATCATCTTAACTCAACAATTACGAAAATAAAACTATGATCATTTCAATTATCACGAAGATAAAACTGGAATCACCTCAATGATTATGTCAATTCAACAATCACGAAAATAAAACTACCACCAAGTCAACTATCATCTCAACTAAATAATGACGTAAAACTATCTGATGTGATATCATCATTTCAACTCAAATATTAAAATTCAACTTTCATTATAATTCTGTCTAAAATAAATACCATTTTATTAATATCTCTTGTCTAAATAAGATAGATTAGTTTGATAAATGACGCATGAAGTATCGAATTCAATTTGTATGAAGTCTAACGTAAATAGACAGGTGTAGTGACGAAACACGCAGCGAACAATTATGAACTATCGATATTCGGTTTAAATAATTATCGAACTCAACTAAAATTATTATTTTCTTATTAATTTAGAGGACAATTCTAGTATTGATTATAGTGTAGAGAATTTAGCGATGACAGAAATAATAGCGAAATCCAATTCGATTACGTACGGCTGTAGTAGTAATAAACATTTATTTACTCTCATTATTTGTAATGGTCATTATTAATTTGAGAAAACAGTGTTTTTTTTTTAATTTATAAGTTATAACTATAAATCTATCGATTCCAACCTATATAAGAATAAAAATCGATAAGATTTATGACAGATTTTACACAACCCATCCCTACTAAATTTGAAATGAATTGTCAAACTAATCTATCTTATTAAGACACACTATAGTTATTACAAACTATTGAATAAAAATAATAAAAAAAAAACAATATTATCATTTTAAAATAAATTTCAAATTCAACTTTATTATCCATTTTCCAATATTTAAATATTCCATAATTTTTAAGATTTTATCGAAGAGGTCTTTATGACATTCGTAGATTTAGGCTCTTATATTAATAAATTATTATTAGGCGTAGTGTTTAATAGTGTTTTTAGTAATAGTAAATTTGAATAAGAGAAATAGATATAAACATACACAATATTATTTAGAAAATATTTTATCGTAAGTATTAACGTAAAAATGACGAAAACCAAATCCAAAAATAAAATTGTGACCTGCGTATTTTAGAGGTCAATTATTTGATATTCAAGGGTTTTGTGAACGGAAATTTGAAAGCGTCATATTTTCTCGATTTCTGGAATTTTTCTTTTGACATTACAGACACTCCATTTTTGTTTAATTTTATTTAAAATAAGCATATACTTTGGTTTTCTTTTCAATATGGGAGAATTTAGAAAGAAGTTAGTTTTTTTCTTAAGGGTAACACTAATTAACAAAAAAATTAAAATCCTTGTAGGATTTAGCGTCGAGTATTATAGCTTTAATTTAAGCATTTATATAACCTTTTTTATTCAATAAATCATTAGAAATAAGGGTGTTTTATTTATTAATAACCTGGCTTTCTCTGCGTGTAATAAACAAGAGTAAGTATGTCTTCAAACTAACCTCTACATGTATGACAATCATCAAGATCCGTTCAGTTTAGGATACAAACAGACATCTAAACTTTCACATTTATAATATTAGTAAGATGCTACATTTTTGAAATGTCAATAATTTAAACTCGTCTATAGTTTGTCTAAATAAGATAGATAAGTTTGATAAATGACGTATATGAAGTACTAAATTCAATTTGAAGTCAAATGTCATACTTAATAGACAGATATCAGTGACGAAACAAATACGCATAACGAACTGAACGATCGATATTCGGTTTAAATAAAATATCTTTTTATAGAAGAACATACAGACGAATTGAGTCAAAACGAATGAAACTGTAAGGGAATTATCAAATGAATAGCATAGGAAAGGGTAATTTCCGTTTTCCAAGCGTCACCTCTGTAATCTAGGTTAGGTCTTAGGAAGCCAATCTGGTTTTATTCTAAACTGTTAAGACACCTGCACAACTTTGACTAAAATATCGCACAATAGTGTTCGATTCGCAGCCAATTCAACTGTTTAGTTGCACAAACATCGAGTTGTTTGCATCATATAACAACTAAATCAAAGCGAGACCTAACGGTTTAAAATTTACATTTCTTTTAATTAAATGTATGTGTATATCGTAAAAGATTTAGAAATGAAACTATTTTTAACGGAGACGTGTATTGATAAAATATGTAAAGAAAAAGACAGAAAAAACGATGACGTCGACAATGTGTTCTAATTTTAAATAATTTAAATTCTTCTTTTCTAATGGCTTGAGACCTAAAAACGTGTAAAAACTCCTTGAACTGTATGTTTGAAACATATGCAAAACGAGCTATTGCCCGCGACTTCGTCCGCGTGGTATTAGAAAACATGAAAACTACATAAATTACAAAAAGTTACGTATCCCTCGGGAACCGGACATTTCTCAGGGACGAAGCTTATCCCATATGTACTCCAGACTTTGTTTTATATCTGTGCCAAATTTCAATAAGATATGTTGAACTGTTGCAGAATGATCGAGTAAACATTAAAGAACTAAATCAATAATTCCCATGGGTACCGTAACTATTCCCGGGATACAAAGTAGCCTATGTGTTCTTCCAGACTATGCTCTAAACCTGTGCCAAATTTCATGGAGATCCGTTCAACCGTTTAGGCTACAAACGCTTATTAACATCCATCCATCCATCCATCTATCCATCCATCCATCTAAACTTTCGCATTTTTAATATTTGTAAGATTATAAATTCTTCCTGACGTTACTTTAAAATTCATGCCGATTTTCACATCCATAATGATCACGCCTGAATTCATACTAGATATCCTGTCCTCTTCACTGTGAGTTATATGACGGAAATAAAAGTAAATTATTGTGACTAAAGGTATATTCACAAGAGTGACTATTAAGTAATACTTTTCGTAGATTTCCACTAGAAAAAAATACATCCATTTCAAAAATTTACCGTTAAGAAGGTAATTTATCTGTGATTAACATAGACTATACATTTTTTTTCATAGGGGGAAAGGGTAAAATATTTTTAGTAACTAACTATACGTCAGTTTTCTAACTCTTCTTAAGAAATATTGTTACTATAATAAATGTATATACAAAACGGATTAACGCGTCTTGAAAAAATTGTCACAGATATAGAACATATTCTGGTAGAAAATAGACAACTTGGTTACGATGTTTTTTTATTATTCCGTGCGAACTTTGCAGGCAAAAACTATATTTTAGTTATTTGCTTCGGAACATTTAAAATTAGAATTACATTTTAATAAAAAAAACAGGAACAATTTAATAAAAACCATGGGAAATATTTTCATATTTATATATTACTAGCTTTCGCCTGCGACTCCGCATGGAAGTAAAAAAACGAAAGTGAGTAGGCTATGTGTTCTTTCAGACCATCCTCTACATCGATACCAAATTTTATTGAAATCCGTTCAACAGTTTAGTCTACAAAGTCTAACAAAGATCCATCTAAAAACCCTAATGTGGGAAAGAGACCATAAGTTGCTGCCAACATCAAGGAAGCAAGGTTGTCATTATGACATTTGCAATTGATATTTTGACTAATGTGAACAATAAAACGATTTTTTTTTATAATTTTATGCGGATGAAGTCGCATGGGAGCAGCTAGTTAAAGATAAAAATTTCAATGTATAAATATATCCTTACAATAAAACATTTGGCACTGCGTCAAAAACATCGGAACTGAGATCACGAAAATGTTGTGAAAGTGATCGAAGTAAACAATTATCTGTGACTCAGAATTATTTCCCACGATTTATTTTTCAGTTCCATTTTCCTTGTTTTTCATGATGTTACATCTTAATTAGAGCGTGCGTATATCTTTGACTAAACTATTGGACAACTCTCAACAGTGGTAGAGCCCGCTTTAACATCTTCGCACGAATGGGCCGACTCGCCCCGTGAAATACCACGACCACACAGAAAACGAAGTGTAAGCAAATCCGCGTTTCGTCTGATAAGTGTGGTGCCGGAGGACTAATTTTAGTCCCTTTCCGTCCCACCTTTTTCTTATAAGGGAAGTATGGGAAAGTAAATTTGACGGTGGAGGAGATGCATAGGAAGGGTAAATATCCTCTTTATGTGCGTCTCTTCCTCCGTCGGATAAGGGTAGGCAACGCATCTGCAATTGCGGATGTCTATGGGCAGTTGTCGCTTCGCCATTTTGGCGGATTTATGTTGCCTCTTGCTCGTTTGTCACTTTTTTGTATAAAAAAATGCCCTTAACCCGCTTACTTACATCACTGCCTTATCCTACTCCCGTAGGGTCGGCGCTCGGTTTTTGTCCACCAAAGCACTCTATTATCTGTCATCTCAGTCCCTTCTCGATCATGTCACTTTTCACGCAATACATCCATCTCTTTCTAGTTTCGGTTTTTCCAATTTATTTAATCCTTTAGTTAAGTCATCTTCTTTCTCCTTATCCTACTCCCGTAGGGTCGGCGCAACAGGTTTTTGTCCTCCACATAACTCTGTCATACGTCATCTCAGTCATCACTCAGTTTAATGTACCTAAAATATATAACCTAAAACGCGTCGTGTGGGGCTTTTTATTAAAAAAAAGATTTATTTAAAACTAGCCTCCGCCGGCGACTACGTCCGCGTGGAATTAAAAAAAAACGAAAGTGAGAAGCCGATTTGTTCTTCCGGACTATCCTCTACATCCGTACTGTTAGGAATAAAATTAGTACCGTGCTATAGAATTGGTGCAACTCTAGATTATCGGCATGAACGTCACGTCCCTAGCTGACAGCTGTCAATGTCACTAGAAGTATGGATCGATTTGGCGCGCATCCTAAGTCTTGACGAGAAGTATTGCTCTGAGTTAAAAGCGACAGTATCAATTAAATAAGTTGTCTAATAGTACCAAATTTCATCAAAATCCGTTCAGCCGTTTAGGCTACAAACTTTAACAAACACCCATCCATCTATCCATTCATCCATCTAAACTTTCGCATTTATAATATTAGTAAGATATACTGTGATTTTCTACATAAGTGTGTCTTTACGCTTTATTATACGAGTACAGATATAGACAAAATGGCGCCCCTTTACGGCGCCTTAGTCGATAACTTCGCCCAACACTAATGGCGTTACCGCGTAGGTATGAAGTCTGCTCACCCCTTTTTTAATGACTTGAGTCATCAAGATACCAAACTCCTTATCTGTCTTTTAAAACATATTGTTAATAATCAATAGCTTTATCTGTTAAGTTTTTGACGTTGAAAAGCTTTTGCAATAAATTTTAATATTAACCAGCTGCGACTTCGTCTACAAAATTTCAAAATACAACCTATGTTACTCGATAACGTAGCTTTTTAACGGTGAAAGAATTTTTGTAATCGGCCCAGTTTTAGAGTAATACCAATATATATAAAAATACAAATCATTCCTCTTTATAATATTAGTATAGATATAAATATAAAAAAG